GAGAGGTGAGACGGCAGCAGAGGGAGAGGGAGGCGACTCCTCGATCCGTCCTGCCGAAAACAAGAACAAAAGCAAACCAGCGGCGGCGGCTCGGCGCGGCAGCGGCGCAACGCGCGCGCATATACTGCGCGCGCGACACCGCTGGTCCGTCCTGCGGCGGCGCGCCCGCCCCGTCAGTACCGCGATGAGCAGCGTCGGGTGGAACAGCTCGAGCGGCGCGGTCGGCGGCCTGGCGCTGAGCCTCATCCATGCCCGCTGCCGTGAGGCACGCGTTGCGGACAGGGCTGGCTCCACGCGGGGCCGCCGCTGCCGCGGCAGCGGCTGAGGTGGCGGGGGCGCCGCCGTGGCTCTGAGGAGAGAGCGGTGAGCCGCCGCCGAAGCCCGCCGCGAGGTCCTTGACGCGGTACTTGTTCTTGAAGGGGTCGAAGGTCGGCGCCTCGTCGATGGGGGCGACAACGCGGGTGGGCGGTGGCAACTCCTGGTCCGTGGACGGCGTCGGCTCGAGGTCGACCTGGCCAGGTTCGATGGCGCTGGCACCGAAGCGTGGCACCACCTCGGGGGCTTGGCCATCAGCCTGAGTCTCGCGGGGCGGCGAGCTCGTGGAGCTCCCAGGGGCCTCGCGCGAGCTGTGGCGGCTGCAGGACCGAGAGAGAGAGAGAGAGAGAGAGAGAGAGAGAGAGAGAGAGAGAGAGAGAGAGAGAGAGAGAGAGAGAGAGAGAGAGAGAGAGAGAGAGAGAGAGAGAGGGGGGGAGGCGAGAGCGATCGACTACGACGACGAGCGCGGCGCGGAGCAGGGAAACGCGGATGTGGCCAGGACGCAAGGGCGCCGACGAAGAGGAGCGATTGCAACGTCGCCGTCCTTCACCTTCCCCCTCCCCCTCCTCCTCTTCCTCCTCCTCCGACGACGGCGACGGCGACGACGACGACGTATGCGACGACGATGGCAGCTCCTTCATTAATTGACCAGTCGGAGCTCCCTCGAGTTCCTCGCCATCGTATTAAGTGAGGAACTCGAGGGGTACAATGCAGGATATGTATCTAGGGATCTCTCTCTCTATATATATATATGTATATAGATCTCTCTCTCTCTCTCTCTCTCGATCGCTCGCATTATGTGTCGCTCTCTCTATCTCTCTCTCTCTCTCTCTCTCTCTCTCTCTCTCGCTCTGTCACTCTGTGTCTCTCCGCCCCTTGGCGCCATGTACTGGTCTGGCATTGGCCGCGACCCGCCCTTAGTCGGTGTGTAGTGGCACCAGTTGGGGATGTTCTGGAAGCCAACCATCATCGGGGTCTCGGGGTCGTCATCCTGCACGCTGAGCGCCTGGCGGCGGCGGGCACCATCTAGCCCCCCTGCCTCCCTAGGGATCGTTAGAGGGGGCAAGTTGCGGGAGGCCGCATATTGAAGTATTAGGTGTACGAGTCTATGTATGTATATATTGAAGCACGTTTGCACGCATTCACAGACATGCATATACCTACACACGTATCCATACATATATACATACATGCATGCACACATCCATACCCACATACATACATCCATACATACATACATACAAACATACATACACACAACTATACATATACATACATACAAACACATACACACATACATACACACGTACATACATACACACCTACATACATACATACATACATACATACATACATACATACATACATACACATACATACACACATACATACATACATACAAACATGCATACATACACACATACATACATACATACGTGCATACACACATATACATGCATACACGCATTCATGCATACATACAGACACGCCTATGTATACATATATATATATATACACACGTGTATATATATATGTATACTGCATGTATACATATATGCACGCATACGTGTATACGGAAGCGTCTATATACAGTTACGCGCGCTATACGTCTATAGTGTTGCACCATCCGTCGCCATACATGCCTCTGATCATTCAATTCCCCTGGATTCCTACACCTCACTATCGTTCACCCTCTCTCTGTATCCCTCTAGATATATTCGGGGTCTACGCTCCCTCCATCAATATGGCCCTCCCTCCAGTGCCCTCCACTGTTATCACTTGCATCCCTCGAGTGAGGCAATCTATATATATATATATATACACATAGCTATACACATACGCGTCACCTCCTCGTCTTAATTCGTCCTGCCCCCCCCCCTATTCCCCGAACGCCTGGGCGCGCGCGTCGATGTCCACGACCGCAGTCGGTGGGTTGCGGGGCGGCGAGGGCCTCGGTTGTCTCGACATGACCTGCCCGCTCGGGGAAGGGGGCGCCGATCGAGGGGAGGGTTTGCGAGGCGGGAGGGTGAGAAAAAAGGCAGATGACGAGGAGACGCACATGGAATTCCGAGCCAATTCCAACGCACGTGCCAGACGAGGAGGGGAAGGGAGAGCAGGAAAGGGCGTCGAAGTGGGAGGGGAAATGGTGCGAGGCTGTCCTCGGGGCCCCTGCAGCCCTGCAGCCCCACCCCACTGCGCGCCCAGCCTTGGGATCCGACGAACACACAAAAAACATCGCGACACATCGCGGCCGTAGCTCCAGACACCATGATCCTGCACCACGTTTCGAGCCGAATCGGTTTGCGAGGGCCCCTGGACCAGAAAAAAAAACGAAAACGCCCGACTCGAAAACAATAGGTTGCCCGGATCACATATGGGCCCTGACAGCCCGCATCCCCCCCCCCCCCCCCCGCCCCCATGCGCTGCGCGCCGCGCGCGCCGCGCGCGCGGATCCGAGGCGGCGCTCGCTGGCGCCAGCGCCGCCCTCGAGGGGCTTCAGCTGCGCGCGGGGAGCAAACAACCGAAGAGGGCGGATGGGTGGAATGTGACCATAGGAAATTATCCAGGAGGGTGGAGGATCGGGCTCGAGAAAATTCCACCCATGTGGTTGTTGTATATACAATACAATACAATACAACAACCGCATGGGTGCACCCATGCTATAACTCCATAAAGCAAATCGGCCGTTGGGCAACATGGCGAAAGGGCAATGCAGGAGTCTCGCGCGCACGCGCGTGTGGCACGCGCCACCCGCGCGCGTAATACCAAAGTCCAATATGTTACCGCGAACAGAGTTTCTATTTTAAAATTTCCATGCCCCCCTGGCTGTCTTTATGTTTTTTCATGCACGAAAACAAAAGCTCCTCTTGGAAGTACAATGTATTTTCATTGCCAGGCAAACATGCCGATTTTTTCGATTGTGGACGGTACAAGCCATGCGCGCGGGTGACACGTGTCACCCGCGTGTGGTGGTGCATTATGTTTGAAGCCTCTAGCACACGGAAGGCACGTCAAACTCAAATATGTAACAGTTAATGGTGTCATGTTAGTCTCCAGGCCAACATGGTTGTACTGTTTTTCGTCAGAACACACACACAAACGCATGTTAACTTCAAAATCAAATCGGTCACCGTTAAGGGTTCACTTTAGTTTCCAGGAGTACATGGCGATTTTTTCATTTTTGAGAAATATAAGAAAACGCATGTCAACTTCAAAATCCAATCAATCACCGTTAAGGGTTCACTTGAGTTTCCAGGCGAACATGGCGACTTTTTCATTTTTTGACATATCAGAAAACGCATGTTAACTTCAAAATCTAATCTTTCACATATAAGGATTCACTGTAGTTTCCAGGCACACATGGCGGTTTTTTCTATTGCAGACACAAAACTCGCCACGCGCGCGCAATCGGGTGACCCGCGCACGGGCGGGTCACCCGAAATCCCGTTGGCCACCGTAAAGGGTTCAATTCACTTTCGGGATCAACAGGGCAGCTTTTCCATTGTGGGTAACACAAGACTCGCCACGCGCGCGTCCGCGCGCGCGCGCGATCGGGTGACTCACCCGCGGGCTGGTCACCCGAAGTCACGTTGGATTCCTTATATATCCCAGGACAACATGGCGTTTGGGAAATATTAGAAAGCGCATGTCGACTTCGAAATCCAATCGATCACCGTTAAGGGTTCACTTTAGTTTCCAAGAGTACATGGCGAGTTTTGCATTTTTGAAAATATAAGAAAACGCATGTTAACTTCAAAATCAAATCGATCACCGTTAAGGGTTCACTTTAGTTTCCAAGCCAACATGGCGGCTTTTCTATTGTCGACAATACAAAGCTCGCCACGCGCGCGCGCAATCGGGTGACCCGCGCACGGGCGGGTCACCCGAAATCCCGCTGGTTTCTGTTAAGGGCGCAATTCAGTTTATTATTATACATATATAGATATTAAAAAGCTGACATCTTGATCTGATACTTGATCTGGAAGCTGAATTAAACCCTTAGAGGTAACCGACGGGATTGCGGGTGACCCGCCCGTGCGCGGGTCACCCGATTGCGCGCGCGCGTGGCGAGTTTTGCGTTGTCCACCATAAAAAAAAAGCCGCCATCTTGGCCTGGAAACTAGAGATTTTGAAGTTAACATGTGTTCAAAAATGGAAAAGTCGCCATGTTCGCCTGGAAACTAAAGTGAACCCTTAACGGTGATCGATTGGATTTTGAAGTTAACATGCGTTTTCTGATGTTTCCCAAGTCGGCCTGGCACATTAAATTGATTATGTATCACTGTAACCAACGAGAGTTCGGGTGACCCGCCCGCGCGTGGATCACCCGATCGCGCGCGCGCGCGGACGCGCGCGTGCGAGTTTTGTATTGCAATGGAAAAGCTGACATATTGATTTCGAAACTAAATTGACCCCTTAACGGTGACCAACGGGATTTCGTTCGGGTGACCGTGCGTGGCGCTAATGTGAAATCGTCTCGAAAATGGCCACGTGGCAAGGAAAATTGCAACGTCGCAAGAAAAATTGCAACGTCGCAAGAAAAATTGCAACATGGCAAGAAAAATTGCAACGTCGCAAGAAAAATTGCAACATGACAAGAAAAATGCAACGCTGCGAACTGCGAGCTAAAAATTGCAACGTCACACAAAAATTGCATCAAAAGGAGCGTTGCAAAAAAATGCAACCACAAGATGTCAGGGCAACTCGCTCCGACTATCGTGCGGTTGCCCGCCCGACGGCCGAGAGCGTTGCTAAAGGTTATATCACTGGCACCAGGCAGGTTCTGATCTGGTGGTGCCGGGTGCCGGGTGCCGGGTGCACCGGCTTCTTCTGTTCCGCGGCTGTGCGTGATACATTACTGCCGTAAACTTTGCGGCCTTCACGGGCCGAAAACAGCTTATATCGAAGCGCAGTTACCTTCTACGTGCACTTTGTACACGTCACTGGATTCTCTCGCACCGGCGGCAGCATTTTGGCCCAGAAAGGGTAAACATCATATCTGTGTCAAACATGCCGCACAGAATCGGGGTTAAAACTGAGCACGGACATTCGGGGTTAAAACTGAGCACGGACATTCGGGCAGTACGTCCTGGCAACCGCAGGCTGCTCTCACTCACATGTGCCATGTTCGACTCTCCATTTCACTATGACACGTGAAGCAAATGATCGATACGTCCCTGATGGACTTACAAGGCCTCCTGGATGCTGCTTGAGGTCGCTTGGGGGCCTCTTGGAGACCTCTTGGGCTCTCTTGGGGGTCTCTTGGGGCCTCCTCGGAGCATCCTGGACTCCTTCTTGAAATCGTCATGGGACCTTCTTGGCACGTCTTCGGGGGCCTCTTAGAGTTTTGAAGCCTTTTGGGTGCCGTCTTGGGGCCTCTTGGAGCTTCTTTTGGGTTTCTTGGGGCCTCTCGGGCCTCTTGGGGGCCTCTTGGGGCCTCTTGGGGGTTTCCTGGGGGCATCTTGGGGCCTCTTGGGGGCATCTCGGGGCGGAGAGCTTGATTTTTCGGTTCGCGTTCCCTCTCTTGGGTCCTTTGGGGACCTTCTTGGGACCTTCTTGGGCCGTCTTGGGCGGCTCTAGGGCCGTCTCGGGGCTCTCTCGGGCCGTCTTGGGGTTCTTTTGGCAGCCTCTTGGGCCGTCCTGGAGCGGTTTGGGGAGCCTCTTGGGCGGTGCGCCAGAAACACGAAACAGCGAGAATGCAAAAAAACATAACAAAAAAAACCTTCCGAGCGCTTCTTGGGGGCTTCTCGGCGCCTCCTGGAGCCACTTGGGGTCGAAAACTTGGAATTCGATGGTGGCTTCCTCCTCTGGGGCCCTCTCGGGCCCGTCTTGGGGACTCTCTTGGGCCGTCTTGGGCCCTTCGTGGGCCGTCCTGGAGCTTTCTGGGGCTGTATTGGGGCCCTCTGGAGCGCGTTCTGGGCCGTATTGGGGCGGTCTAGGGAGCTTCTGAGGTCGTCAAGACGAGCCCAGAGAGCCCAAAGAAGCCCAAGAGAGCTCGAAGACAAGCCCAGGAATAGCCCGAACAGCCCCAAAGCTGCCCCCCTCAGGCCCCGAAGAGCTCCCGGGAAACCCGACAAGAACCCCAAAACGACCGCCAAACGGTTTCGAACCATCTGATCATTGACTTCAATTAAGGGGTCGGCGGATGTGGCGCAAGCCCGAAGAATCTATGAATTCTCATTCCGATTTTTCGGGGGCTCCTCCAGCTGCACTCGACCGGACGCTCCTGAGGTGCAACTCGATCTGGTCACCGCTTCTACTGCTTCTGGCATGAGTTGCTCAAAAGAGTTTCGGCGTGCTTCTCGAACGCATCATTCCAGTCCATCCTGACAATCTGGTGGTCTAGCTCGCAGATCTGCTTGAAATGTGTAGTCTCATTATCTGACAAATCTGGGCGGAAGTGCAAAATGCGGTCTCCAAACGCAACTCGGAAATTGGCATCCATTTTGAGTGCATATTTCTTCATCGGCTCCATGTCCAAACACTTCTTCGGCATGGTGTGGTGCTTGAACATCGCATCAACCTTGTGTACGAGCTCTTGCCTCGGCGGCGCCTCCAATTTGCAATGGTGATGCTCGCGCATGTATTCCCCGAGTAAGTACCACATTTGGAAATAAACAACCTGGTCGGAAGCCAATCCTGGCCCGAGGTGGACTTGTTCGAGCGGCTCCTCGAAAGTCGGTAAACCGACGGCAGACAGCAGCATATTCACAATGTCGCCGTCGTTCTGTGCCCCCAGAAAATCTAATATGAAAACGCTGTCACGGCCAAATTCTTGAATATACTTGCTGGCGACACGCCCGCAGAATCCTGTGCCATCTGTCTCTGATCGGGATACCTTCCCATAAAATTCGGCGAACGATACGCCGATTTGGGGGGGGTTGTGTTGACTGAGGTGCTGCTTGTACTGAGACCACTCCCGACCGAGGAATGGCCGGTGAGTGAGCACCACCTTGATGTTAAACTTAGGAAATAAAGATTTCAGCGACGACATCAACTTTGGACTCATGAGGGAAAGCGCCTCGGAGCTGACGATCACGTGCTGGCCTTTAGCCACTGCCTCGCTGAGCTTATCCTTGAAGGCTGTCATTGCGGTCTCGTCTCGTTCTGGATGCAAAAGAAAATGATGCGCTTCCGGGTGACGTCCCTCCACCGGCGGCACGTAGTACACCATATTCATTCCGAGGAGTTTGGCCCGGTACGCCAACAGGACCCTTTGGATGTACGTCGTCCCCGTCTTGGGCGGCCCGATATGGATCAGAGCGGTCGGCTTTCCCAAGGGCCCCGCTACGCGCCTGGTGACCGATGGACTGGCAATCGTCTGGCTCCATCCCTGCCAGCCTCGCAGGGCAACCACCAGTGGCAAAGAAAGTGCAACCATGGTCACGATAATGATACAAAGCGTGGGCAATTCGAATAACAATCCAAGCCTTCTCGGCAGAGTCATGGGAGTCTTCGACATGCTGGTCAGATTCGCGCCCGCCTGCTGTCAGCAGGTCACATGAATGCGCCTTCTCACCTGAAGGAAGCGAGGCCTCCCTGAGCCAGACCGGCATGAGCTAAACTTGCGGCGGCGGCAGAAACGACAACGACGTTTCGGGCACGATTTCGGCTCCCAGGGGGCCGTCCTCAGGGCCCCAGGGTCGCCAGAAGCGGGCAAACCAAAAAGACCAGCAACCCGCCGCCGTGGCGACAAACGCAAACGTAACATGACCCACCTGCGGTTGGCGGGAGAACACGGCACGATCTCGCCTGAGTGTAGGGGCCTCTTGGGGGTCTTCCTGGTCGGGCTGCCTTGAAGGTCTTGGGGCCCGCTTGGAGCCCTCTTGGGCTCTTCTTCGAAGTTGTGGGGCCGTCTAAAGCCTCGGGGCCATGTGAAGCTCTCCCGACGCAATCCGAAGGAGAAGGACGCGAGATTTACCGAGCATGTAGAAACCTGAATGGTTTTTGCGTTTATGTCTCTCTGGGGTGATTGTGGGGGGCCTTTGGGGAACTCCACTGGGGCACCTTGTGGCCCCTGGGGGCCGCCTTGAAACATCTTGGAGCGTCTTGGGCCACCGAGGGGTTATCTTGGCGGCCAGCAAGCGTCCTCCTGAACCAAATCGGAACCCTCCTCACGCAGAAACATGATCGACCCACGAACCCCAAAAGGAATATAGAGCTGTAGCGCATGGCAGCATTTTCAAAGACACCTGATTGGGTGGCGGGCAAGTGCAATGCTGAGTGTATCGATCTCAATGTACCAGGAAGCCGAAATCAATGAAGGCTGAAATCAAAATGAAAACAATGATCGGCGACAGGTTAAAATGGAAAACTGGGCGGGCCAGCGACAAAACTTATAGCCGAATGTGCAGTATCCCCAAACAGGGTTTTTGGACCCACTGCGGTTTCCAAGGCAGATTGCGTGCCCGTCCAGTGCGGGCTGGCATGGCATGTTCAAACATGCCTCCTCCTCCTTCTCCTCCTGCTCCTCCTCCTCCTCCCCCACCTCCTCTTCATCCCGAACGGCATCTCGGAGCCCAGAGTTGCGAGGATGTCTCCAGCGTAACGAGCTGTATCGCCTCCGCGCCACCATCATCAACGAGCGCGCGGCTGCCAGCGGCCGCACCGTGACATCGGAACCAAAGAACGCAGAAGGGTCTTTTTGCCGACCCCGCGGACGCACGTACGTAGCCGAACCAGGAACCCCGAACCCCTGCCTTCTGAGAACGAGAGAGCGAAGAGGCCAAACTCAAGAACATCGGAGGGTACCCTGACCCAGGATGCACAAGAACATTCAACAAACACGATCAACATAAGGGTACCCTCCCCGAGAGCCTTTAAAAATCCTCTCAGAAGCCTCTCAGACACCTCTCCGAAACTTCTCAAAAGCCGTTCAACAACTTTTCAAAAGCCTCCCGGGAGCCTTTCGAAAGCCTTTCAGATGCCGCTCAGACGCAAGCCAAAGACCTCTCAAAAGCAAGCCAAAAACTTCTCAGAAGCTTGTCAAAAGCCTCTCAGGAGCCGTTCAACAGCTTTTCGAACGCCTCTCAGAAGCCAGCCTCTGAACAGCTTTTCAAAAGCCTCTCAAAAGCCTCTCAGAAGCCTTTCGACAGCCTCTCAGAAGCCTTTCAAAAGCATTTCAAAACACTCAGAAGCATTTCAAAAGCGTCTCCGAAGCCTTTCAAAAGCTTCTCAGAAGCCTTTTCAAAAGCCTCTCCGAAGCCTTTCAAAAGCGTCTCAACAGTCTCTCAGGCGCCTTTCAAAAGCCTCTCAGGAGCCTTTCCAAAAGCCTTTTCATGTTTTAAAAGAAAAACAAAAATCTCTGAAGCCTTGTCAAAAGCCTCTCAGGAGAAGCCTTTCTAAAGCATTTCAAACACCTGTTCAAAAACCTGTCCAAAGCCCCCTGGGGGCCTCCTAGAGGCCTCCTAGGATATTGACCAGAACGGAGATCTGTGAAACCTCTGTGAAAGGGGCACCCCCTCATCACTAACGCGCACAACACCAAACCACAACACGCACAAGCAACGCGCGCGGGGACACCACGAAACACCACGACCACCACGAGAACCCACGATACACCACGGGGCACCACGGGACACCACGATGCACCACAGCACATCACATCACGCACACACACAGAGACACACACACAGACACACACACACAGACAGGCACACACACAGACACACACACACAGACACACACACACAGACACACACACACACACAGACACACACACAGACACACACACACACAGACACACAGACACACACACACAGACACACACACACAGACACACACACACCACACATACAGACACACACACAGACACACACAGACACACAGACACACACACACAGACACACACACAGACACACACACATACAGACACACACGAACACAGACACACACAGACACACGCACACAGACACACACACACACATACACAGACGCACACACAGACACGCACACATATACACACACTGACACACACACACACACAGGCACACACACAGACACACACACAAATACACACACACCACCACCACCAAAACACATCACGCCTCACACACACCACACCACACCACACTACACCACGCACACTCCACACGCACGGAGGCACCACGAGACACCACGAGCACCACGAGACACCACGACGCACCACGAGACACCACGGGACACCACCACCAAACCGCACACACACACACCACCCTCGGAATCCCGGGGAATCGATCCCCAAGGATTCGAAAAGGATCCCGTGATCACCGCCAGAATCCCTGGGAATCGATTCCCCAAAGTGATCCCAGGATAGTTTTTGAAAATCCCTGGGCATCGATTGATTCAAGATCCCGAATCAGACCGACTCACGATCTAGAGCGGACTGGTTCAAGATTCGGAAACGGACCGATGCACGATTTAAACCAGACAGATTCGAGAGGGCAAAACAGACCGATTCCCGATCTAAACTGGACCGATTCACGATCTAGGAACGGACTGGTTCAAGATTCAGAAACGGACCGTTTCACGATTTTGAAACACACAGATGCAAGACGGCAAAACAGACCGATTCACGATCTAAACTGGACCGATTCGCGATCTAGAACGGACTGGTTCAAGATTCGGAAACGGACCGATTCACTATTTAAAACAAACAGATTCAAGAGGGCAAAACAGACCGATTCACGATCTAAACTGGACCGACTCACGATCTAGAACGGACCGATCTCAAATCTGAACGGACGGGAGAACAATTCACAAATAATAAATTGCATCACCCCCTCAAAAGAAAAACGCCCTCAAACCCAAAAAAACAAAAAAAATCCCCCTCCAAGACGGCCCAATGAAAATACCGTTTCCGTGTCCAATCGCAAATCCGCGCGCGCATTTCGCGGAACACGGGTCGGAAACAAGAGAAAAATCGGAACCCGAACAAAAAGAACATTGAAAAACAAGATCCCCCTCCCAGACGGCCCATTGCAAATGCCGTTTCCGTGTCCAGTCGCGCGTCCGCGCGCGCATTTCGCGGAGGACGGGTTGGACGCAAGAAAAAAATCGAAACCAGAAAAATCAGAAAACAAAAAAAAACATAATTTCCCCCTCCCAAACGGCCTATTGCAAGCACCGTTTCCGTGTCCAGTCGCGAGTCCGCGCGCGCATTTCGCGGAGAACGGGTCGGAAACAATAGGAAAATTCGGAGCCCGAAAAAGCAAAGGCAACAAAAAACATATTTTCCCCCTCCCAGACGGCCAGAAATACCGTTTCCGTGTCCGCGCGCGCATTTCGCGGAGGATGTCGGAAACAGGAAAAAAATCGTAACCAGAAAAATCAGAAAAAAAACCCTAATTTCCCCCTCCCAAACGGCCCATTAAAAGTACCGTCTCCGTGTCCAATCGCGCGTCCGCGCGCGCATTTCTCGGAGGACGGGTTGGACACAAGGAAAACCAGAAAAATCCGAAAAAAACCCTTAATTTCCCCCTCCCGAACGGCCCATTGCAAGTACCGTTTCCGTGTCCAGTCGCGAGTCCGCGCGCGCATTTCGCGGAGAACGGGTCGGGAACAATAGGAAAATTCGGAGCCCGAAAAATCAGATTTTTTTTTCCGGTCGCGAGTCCGCGCGCGCATTTCGCAGGATGGGTCGGAAACAAGAGAAAAAATCGGAACCCGACAAATCAGAAAAAAAAAAAAACAGAATTTCCCCCTCCAAACGGCCCATTGCAAGTACCGTTTCTGTGTCCAGTCGCGCGTCCGCGCGCGCATTTCGCGGAGGACGGGTTGGACACAAGGAAAAAATCGAAACCGGAACAGAAAAAGCCCTTAATTTCCCCCTCCCGAACGGCCCATTGCAAGTACCGTTTTCCGTGTCCAGTCGCGAGTCCGCGCGCGCATTTCGCGGAGAACGGGTCGGAAACAATAGGAAAATTCGGAACCCGAAAAATCAAAGAAAAACAAAAAAAACCCTCCCAAACGGCCGGAAATACCGCTTCCGTGTCCGGTCGCGCGTCCGCGCGCGCATTTCGCGGAGGATGGGTCGGAAACAAGAGAAAAAATCGGAACCCGACAAATCAGAAAAAAAACTATAATTTCCCCCTCCCAAACGGCCCATTGCAAGTACTGTTTCCGCGTCCAGTCGCGCGTCCGCGCGCGCATTTCGCGGAGGACAGGTTGGACACAAGGGAAAAAATCGAAACCAGAAAAATCAGGAAAAAACCCTTAATTTCCCCCTCCCAAACGGCCCATTGCAAGTACCGTTTCCGTGTCCAGTCGCGAGTCCGCGCGCGCATTTCGCGGAGGATGGGCCAGTCCTGGCGCGGCCCTAGAGGATTCCTGGCGCGGCCCTAGAGGATTCCCCAGCCCTGGCGCGGCCCTAGAGGATTCTCCCCGGCCCTGGCACGGCCCTAGAGGATTCCACAGCGGTGGCGCGGCCCTAGAGGATTCCTCAGCTCTGGCAGTAAGAACCCCAGGCGGGAGGGATAGGGTTGATCCGGAACCGGAACCGGAACCGGAACCGGAACCGGAACCAGAGCAGCGCGCGCTGCCTCAGGGGAGGGGGGGGTGATCCGGAACCAGAACCGGAACCGGGACGCATGGAGAGGGATAGGGATGAGGGGTGATCCCTAACCGGAACCGGAACCGGAACCGGAACCGGAGCAGCGCGCGCTGCCTGAGGGGGGGGGTTATCCGGAAACCGGAACCAGAACCGGAACCGGACGCATGGATAGGGAGAAGGATGATCCCTAACGGAACCGGAACCGAACCGGGACCGTGAACCGAAACCGGAACCGGGAACGGAACAAGTGCGC